AATGCTCTTTGATTGTAGGTGAACTATACATCCCAGTAACTACAACTCGCATATGTCAAGGTCTATTTTCCTCCAAGAGTGCCTCAAGAGCGCCCCTGGGCAAAATCAACTATACTTCAAATGCTTACTTTGCGTAATGGGTTGAGCCGCCCCTGATCGAAGAGCATTCTGAACTTTACCAACAATAGAATTGGGCCAAACTTCCTACACAGAACCCCCAAGACCAGTGGTTCTCAACCTGTGGGTCCCCAGAGGTTTTGGCCTTCAACTCCCAGAAATCCTAACAGCTGGTAAACTGGTTGGGATTTCTGGGAGTTGTAGGCCAAAAACATCTGGGGACCCCAGGTTGAGAACCATTGCGGACCAACAGAAAATACTGTGTTTTCTGATGGTCTTTTGTGACCCCCTCTGACACCCTCTCGCGACCCCCCAGAGGTGCTGAACCCCCAGGTTGAGAAATGCTGACAATGCAGGTCACTGTTGCCCGTTTCTGGTAAAAAAAAATTAGCCACTTGTGCTCCTTCTATTTTTATCAGTTTTATACTTATTTGTGCAAAGCTTTTGATATGAAATACATAAATAATCCACCCTGTATATTTGCATTTCATTTTTTCCCGCCTAAATGTCATATCTTACATTTCTCCTTGCTGAAATTCATTTTGTTAGTTTTGGCCAAACAGCTCCGTAATCTGCGAAGGTCATTTTGAATCCTGACCCTGTCCTCTGGAGTATTCGCTCTCTCTCCTGATTTGGTCTCATCTGCAGACTTGATAAGCAGGCCCTCGAAACCTCCATCCAAGTCATTAATGCCCGTTCCACCTTCCACCTTGTCCATCTCCTTCTCAAACAACTTTTCCCAGAACTGGATTCAGGGTTATTCCAGGTGAGGTGTGAACCAAAGCAGAACAGAGTGGGATTATATCCCCAAAAGCAGACCCTTGGATTCCTGAACTGGGTCCAATATTATTCACTCCAAATAGAGCAGGGTTACATCCCTCAAAGAGGATCCTTTGAGCCAGAACACAATACCATTCCAAGTGAGTTTTGATCAAAGCAGAATGGAATGGGATGATATCCCCAAAAAAAGATCCTTGGATTCCTGAACTGGGCACCAATAATATTCCAGGCAAGCTCTGATCAAAGCAGAAGAGAGTGGGATTAGATTCCCCAAATTGATTGATTGATTTATTCTATTTCAGCGTTTATCAATTTGGGGGTCGGGACCCCTTGGAAGGTTGCGAGGGGGTTTCACAGGGGTTGCCAAAGGCCATCAAAAAACATGTATTTCTGATGTTCTTAAGAACCACTTTGGTAGGGAAGGCTGAAAATCCCTCCGCCTGCCGTCCTTTTCCTTTTTGGAAACAGAGGGTGAATCCTCCCCCCCAAAAGCCCTCCTCTGCTGTGATTGGCCGGCCTCTCACCCAAGGGGAGAGTTGTTTCTGAGACTCCAAGGGGAGAGGGGAGAGCAGGCGCACTCGGCGCATGGCAGTGTGGTGCGCATGCACAGGCGAGAGAGAGTATGTGAGGCTGGAGGGAGGTTTGTGCCAGCAAGTCCCTTCAAGGTATGGGGGTTTTGTGCGGCAAGTTTGGCCCACAGAACCCCCTTACCTTGAAGGGACTTGCTGGCACAAGCCTCCCTCCAGCCTCACAGAATTCTCTTTAATTGTAGGTGAACTATAAATCCCAGCAACTACAACTCCCAAATGTCAAGGTCTATTCTCCCCAAACTCCACCAGTGTTCACATTTGGGCAGATTGAGTATTCATGCTAGGTTTGGTCCAGATCCATCATTGTCTGTGTCCACAGTGCTGTCTGGATGTTGGGGAACTACAACTCCCACCAAACCCTTCCAATACTTGCTGTTGGTCATGAGAGTTCTGTGTGCCTTAAACTTTTCCAGCCTAGCTTACCTGTCTGAACGTATCTCCATCTAGGAGCTTAAGAACATCTGGGGAGGCCCTGCTCTCGATCCCGCCTGCCTCGCAAGTGTGATTAGCAGAGACGAAGGACAGGGCCTTCTTAATGGTGGCCCCCCCGGCTATGGAACTCCCTCCCCAGGGATATTAGATCGCCCCCCTCCCTCCTGACTTTCTGAAAAAAAGTAAAGACCTGACTCTTTGAGCAAGTTTTTGAGAATGCAGCGAATAAACACGGAACTATGAATGATGAACATGGAATGGCCAGACTATGTTACTGGATAATGTTTTCAACAAGATGACACCAATCATTATATGCTTTAACAGTTTTTATTTACCCGTATATTCCGGCATATAAGACGACTGGGCATATAAGACGACCCCCAACTTTTCCAGTTAAAATATAGAGTTAAGACAACTCCCATGCATAAGACTACACCCGCATATAAGACGACCCCTGACTTTTGAGAAGATTTTCTTGGGTTAAAAAGTAGTCTTATACGCCAGAATATACTGTATGTTTTATATTGTAATGTTTATTGTTTTTAATGGCACTTTTATGAATGCCTGACATCGAACAGTGCCAATCTGTAACCCGCCTTGAGTTGCCATACGGCTGAGAAAGGCGGGCTATAAATATTGTAAATAAATAAGTTTGGTTCAATTCCATCATTGGTGGAGTTCAGAATGCTCTTTGCTTGTAGGTTAACTATAAATCCCAGCAACTACGACTCCCAAATGACAACATTAATCACCCACAATCCCACCAGTATTCAGATGTAGGTGTATTGGGTATTTGCGCCAAATTTGGTCCAGCAAATGAAAATACATCCCGCATATCAGATATTACGATTCATAACAGTAGCAAAATTACAGTTATGAAGTAGCAACGAAAACAATGTTATGGTTGGGGGTCTTTACACATGGCAACTATTCAATGCCTTTGGACAACAAACAGTTAAGTTAAAATACAATACACTTAAGTTAAAAAAAATAAAATTAAAATTAAATGCACATTAAAACATATAAAACATTGCATTCACTTTTAAAATCGTGCCATCCCAATCCTTGGATTCCTGAACTGGGCACAATAGTATTCCAAATGGAGCAGGATGATATCCCCTAAAGAGGGTCCTTTGAGCCAGACACAGTATCATTCAAGGGGAGTTCTACCCAAAGCAGAAGAGGGTGGGATTTTCTCCCCCAAAGAGGATCCTTTGAGCCGGACACAATAACGTCCCAGGTGAGATTTGCCCAAAGCAGATGAGACTTTGAAACTGCTAGGCCAGTGTTTCTCAACCTGTGGGTCGGGACCCCTAAGGGGGTCATGAGGGGGTGTCAGAGGGGTCGCCAAAAACCATCAGAAAACACAATATTTTCTGTTGGGCATCGGGGTTCTATGTGGGAAGTTTGACCCAATTCTATCGTTTGTGGGGTTCAGAATGCTCTTTGATTGTAAGTGAACTATAAATCCCAGCAACTACAACTCCCAAATGTCACGGTCCATTTTCCCCAAACTCCACCAGTGTTTACATTTGGGCATATTGAGTATTCGTGCCAAGTTTGGTTCAGATCCATCATTGTTTGAGTCCACAGCACTCTATGGATGTAGGTGAACTACAACTCCAAAACTCAAAGTCAATGCCCACCAGACCCTTCCAGTATTTTCTGTTGGTCATGGGAGGTCTGTGTGCCAAGTTTGGTTCAATTCCATCGTTGGTTGAGTTCAGAATGCTCTTTGATTGTAGGTGAACTATAAATCCCAGCAACTACAACTCCCAAATGACAAACTCAATCCCAATCCCACCAGTATTCAAATTTGGGCATATCGGGTATTTGTGCCCAATTTGGCCCAGTGAATGAAAATACATTCTGAATATCAGATATTTACATTACATTTTAAACAGAGGCTGGATGGCCATCTGTCAGGGGTGCTTTGAATGCAATATTCCTGCTTCTTGGCAGGGGGTTGGACTGGATGGCCCATGAGGTCTCTTCCAACTCTATGATTCTATAATTCATAACAGTAGCCAAAATTACAGTTATGAAGTAGCAACGAAAATAATTTTATGTTGGGGGTCACCACAAAGTGGGGAACTGTATTAAGGGGTCATGGCATTAAGAAGGTTGAGAACCACTGTACTAGGCCATTCAATGCTATTGTTGTTAGCCTGTTATAGCACTGTACTTAATTCCTGGTCCCCTCATACTTTGAGTTTGCACTAGCCTCGGCCCGGCCCTTTAATTGCTCTGAACAGGTAGGATTATTTTTAATATATATGTGTTATTGTGATAATTTTATGCTTATGTTGTTTTGTTAATTTTATTTCATGTTGTTTACTGTATGTTTTGGTGATGTTACTTGGAAATTGCCCTGAGTCCCCTTCAGAGAGATAGAGGGGTATATAAATAAAGATTATTATTATTATTATTATTATTATTATTATTATTATTATTATTATTATTAATCAAGGTGGCCAACTGCAACATTTGTACCTGCCTCCAACAGACAAGAGTTCTTCCTCCCCCCCTGGACATTATTCCACAGATATATAAACCCCACTTGCCTAGTTTCCAACAGACCTCACAAACTCTGAGGATGCCTTCCATAGATGTGGGTGAAACATCAGGAGAGAATGCTTCTGGAACATGGCCATACAGCCTGGAAAACTCAAAACAACCCAGTGATTCTGGCCATGAAAATATATTAGAGATAAGTGGGACTATATCCCCAAAAGGGGAATCCTTGGATTCCTGAACTGGGCACCAACATTCCTCCAAGTGAGCTCTGACTAAACGGAGTGGGACTATCTCCCCAAAAGAGCATCCTTTGGAGGCAGTATGATTCCAGGTGAGCTCTGCCCAAAGCAGAAGCGAGTGGGAGCATCCCTTTGAAAGGAGATCCTTTGGGGAGACTATGCTGGGGGAGAAGGGTCCTTCGAAGATTCCCCCCTCGCCTTTCCTCCCTCTCCTGCCGGGCGCCCCTAGCGGGCCCGATCCGCCACTGCGCCTGCCTCCCTCCTTCTCTCCTTCCCTCTCCCCCCCCCCTCCCTCCCCGCCAAGCAACAGAGGCGAGAGCTTGAGGAGGAGAGGCATCGCGCCGGAGAGCTGGGGCGAGGAGCTCCCTTCTTCTGGCCCTTGTGGCCGGGGCTGGCCCTCTTGGTGTGGGCCCCAGCTTGGCCCTATGGGAGGGCACCCCTAGGCGGCCCCCGCCCCTCCTTGCGGGAAAGGAGGGGGCTCGAGGGGGCCGGAGGGGGCTGCTTCCACCCGGTGCCTCTCCGCTGCCAAACTTCGCCCTCTCTATGGAGTTGTGGCGAGGTCGGGCTGCTCCGGGGGCCGCCGCCTTTGCCCTCTCCTGCTTGGTGCTGGCCGTGCTGAATGGGGGGCCCGCCGGAGCCCACCCCCAGCCCTGCCACATCCTGGCCCGGGTGGGCCACGCCGTGCGACTGGGGGCGCTCCTGCCCCACGGAAAGAAGGGGCCCCCACCCGGCTCCGTGCGGAATGCTTTGGCGCACGCCGCGCGCGCCTCCGCCTCGGCTCTGCCCTACAACCTGAGCCTGGAGGTGGTGCCTGGGGCTCCCCGGGATCGGGACCCGGCCTCCCTGGCTCGCTGGCTGTGCCAGGCGCTGGTGGTCAGGGGGGTGGCCGCCGTGCTGGCCTTCCCTGCCTCCAGGAGGGAGATGCTCCAGATCGACGCCGCCGCTGCCTTCTTGGAGATCCCTTTCCTCAGCTTGGCAGGGAAGCCCTTCCTCAAGGAAGAGGAAGAAGAAGAAGAGGAGGAAGAGGAGGAGGAGGAGGAGGAGGAGCCCCCCATGCCCTTCAGCAGCTGGGTGAGATCAACTTCCCCTTACCAAACTCACAAATCTTCCCAAACCACTCCTAGAAGTAGTCAACCTTCTTCACCTGACTTCCCTCTCCCAAACATCTCTCCAAACTCACCTCTCCAAAGCATCTCTTCAAAAGCATCTCACCAAACCCACCTCTCCAAACCCAACTCTCCAAAAGCACCCTTCCAAAGCGCCTCTCCAAACCCACCTCCCCAAAAGCACCCCTCTAAACCCACCTCTCCAAACCCACCTCTCCGAAGCCACCTCTCTAAAAGCACCTTTCCAAAGCACTTTTCCAAACACACCTCTCCAAAAGCACCCCTCCAAAGCAGCTCTCCAAACCCACCCTTCCAAACCCACCTCTCCAAAAACATCTCCTAAAGCCCACCTCTCCAAACCCACCTAAAAACGCCCTTCCAAAGCATCTCTCCAAATCCATCTCTCCAAAAGCACCCTTCCAAAGCACCTCTCCAAACTCACCTCTCCAAAGGCACCCTTCCAAAGCAGCTCTCCAAATCCGCCTCTCCAAAAGCACTCTTCCAAAGCACCTCTCCAAACTGACCTCTCCAAACCCATCTCTCTAAAACCACCCTTCCAAAGCACCTCTCCAAACCCACCTCCTAAAAGCACCCTTCCAAAGCACCTCTCCAAACCCACCTCTCTAAAAGTACACTTCCAAATGCCCTCTCCAAAAACACCCTTCCAAAGCACCTCTCAAAACGCACCTCTCCAAACCCACCCTTCCAAACACACATCTCCAAAAGCATCTCTCAAAACCTAGCTCTTCAAAAGCACGCCTCTAAACCCACCTGTCCAAAGCACCCTTCCAAAGCATCTCTCCAAACCCACCTCTCCAAACCCACCTCTCCAAAAGCATTTCACGAAACCCACCTCTTCAAAAGCACCCCTCTAACCCCACCTGTCCAAAGCACCTATCCAAAAACCCACCTCTTCAAACCCATCTCTCCAAAAGCACCTCTCCAAAGAACTTCTCCAAAAGCACCCTACCAAAGCTCCTCTCCAAACCCACCTCTCCAAAAGCATCCCTCTAAACCTACCTCTCCAAACCCACCTCTCCGAAGCCACCTCTCTAAAAGCACCTTTCCAAAGCACTTTTCCAAACACACCTCTCCAAAAGCACCCCTCCAAAGCAGCTCTCCAAACCCACCCTTCCAAACCCACCTCTCCAAAAACATCTCCTAAAGCCCACCTCTCCAAACCCACCTAAAAACGCCCTTCCAAAGCATCTCTCCAAATCCATCTCTCCAAAAGCACCCTTCCAAAGCACCTCTCCAAACTCACCTCTCCAAAGGCACCCTTCCAAAGCAGCTCTCCAAATCCGCCTCTCCAAAAGCACTCTTCCAAAGCACCTCTCCAAACTGACCTCTCCAAACCCATCTCTCTAAAAGCACCCTTCCAAAGCACCTCTCCAAACCCACCTCCTAAAAGCACCCTTCCAAAGCACCTCTCCAAACCCACCTCTCTAAAAGTACACTTCCAAATGCCCTCTCCAAAAACACCCTTCCAAAGCACCTCTCAAAACGCACCTCTCCAAACCCACCCTTCCAAACACACATCTCCAAAAGCATCTCTCAAAACCTAGCTCTTCAAAAGCACGCCTCTAAACCCACCTGTCCAAAGCACCCTTCCAAAGCATCTCTCCAAACCCACCTCTCCAAACCCACCTCTCCAAAAGCATTTCACGAAACCCACCTCTTCAAAAGCACCCCTCTAACCCCACCTGTCCAAAGCACCTATCCAAAAACCCACCTCTTCAAACCCATCTCTCCAAAAGCACCTCTCCAAAGAACTTCTCCAAAAGCACCCTACCAAAGCTCCTCTCCAAACCCAACTCTCCAAAAGCATCCCTCTAAACCTACCTCTCCAAACCCACCTCTCCGAAGCCACCTCTCTAAAAGCACCTTTCCAAAGCACTTCTCCAAACACACCTCTCCAAAAGCACCCCTCCAAAGCAGCTCTCCAAACCCACCCTTCCAAACCCACCTCTCCAATAGCACCACTCTAAACCCACCTCTCCAAACCTACCTCTCCAAAATTATCTCTCCAAACCCACCTCTCCGAAGCCACCTCTCTAAAAGCACCTTTCCAAAGCACTTCTCCAAACGCACCTCTCCAAAAGCACCCCTCCAAAGCAGCTCTCCAAACCCACCCTTCCAAACCTACTTCTCCAAAAACCCACCTCTCCAAAGCCACCTAAAATCACCCTTCCAAAGCATCTCTCCAAACCCATCTCTCCAAAAGCACCCTTCCAAAGCACCTCTCCAAACCCAGCTCTTCAAAGGCACCCTTCCAAAGCATCTCTCCAAACCCATCTCTCCAAAGTCACCCTTCCAAAGCACGTCTCCAAACCCACCTCCAAAAGCACTCTTCCAAAGCACCTCTCCAAACTGACCTCTCCAAACCCATCTCTCTAAAAGCACCCTTCCAAAGCACCTCTTCAAACCCACCTCCCCAAAAGCACCCTTCCAAAACATCTCTCCAAACCCACCTCTCCCAAAGCACCCTTCCAAAGCACCTCTGCAAACCCACCTCTCCAAAAGAACCTCTCTAAACCCACCTCTCCAAAGCACCTCTCCAAACCCACCTCTCCAAAGCATCTCTCCAAAAGCATATCAAAAAACCCACCTCTCCAAACCTACCTCTCCAAAATTATCTCTCCAAACCCACCTCTCCGAAGCCACCTCTCTAAAAGCACCTTTCCAAAGCACTTCTCCAAACGCACCTCTCCAAAAGCACCCCTCCAAAGCAGCTCTCCAAACCCACCCTTCCAAACCTACTTCTCCAAAAACCCACCTCTCCAAAGCCACCTAAAATCACCCTTCCAAAGCATCTCTCCAAACCCATCTCTCCAAAAGCACCCTTCCAAAGCACCTCTCCAAACCCAGCTCTTCAAAGGCACCCTTCCAAAGCATCTCTCCAAACCCATCTCTCCAAAGTCACCCTTCCAAAGCACGTCTCCAAACCCACCTCCAAAAGCACTCTTCCAAAGCACCTCTCCAAACTGACCTCTCCAAACCCATCTCTCTAAAAGCACCCTTCCAAAGCACCTCTTCAAACCCACCTCCCCAAAAGCACCCTTCCAAAACATCTCTCCAAACCCACCTCTCCCAAAGCACCCTTCCAAAGCACCTCTGCAAACCCACCTCTCCAAACCCAGCTGTCCAAATGTAACCTTCCAAAGCACCTCTCCAAACCCACCTCTCCAAAAGAACCTCTCTAAACCCACCTCTCCAAAGCACCTCTCCAAACCCACCTCTCCAAAGCATCTCTCCAAAAGCATATCAAAAAACCCACCTCTCCAAAAGCACCCTTCCAAAGCACCTCTCCAAACCCAGCTCTCCAAAAACATCTCTCCAAACCCACCCCTCCAAAAGCACCCTTCCAAAGCACCTCTCCAAACCCACCTCTCCAAACCCACCCTTCCAAACCCACCTCTCCAAAAGCAACTCTCCAAACCCACCTCTCCAAAAGCACCCCTCTAAACCCACCTGTCCCAAGCACCTCTCCAAAAGCATCTTTCGAAACCCATCTCTCCAAAAGCACCTCTCCAAAAGCACCTCTCCAGACCCACCTCTCTAAACACGCCCTTCCAAAGCCCCTCTCCAAAAGCACACTTCCAAAGCCCCTCTCTAAACCCACCTCTCCAAATCCATCTCTCCATGCGCACCTCTCCAAAAGCACTCTTAGAAAGCACCTCTCCAAAAGCACCCTTCCAAAGCAACTTTCCAAACCCACCTCTCCAAACCCATGTCTCTAAAAGCACCTTTCTAAAGCAGCACCTCTCCAAACCCATCCCTCCCAAAACACCTCTCCAGAGAACCTCTCCAAACCCACCTCTCCCAAGGACACCTCCAAAAGTACCTCTCCAAACCCACCTCTCTAAATCCACCTCTCCAAAGCACCTAGAATCATAGTACCCTAGAGTTTGAAGGGACCTTGTGGGCCATACAGCCCAACCCCGTGCCAAGAAGCAGGCACATCACATTCAAAGCGCCCCCATCAGATGGCCATGCAGCCTCTGTTTCAAAGCCTCCAAAGAAGGAGCCTCCACCACACTTTGGGGCAGAGAGAGAGTTCCACTGCTGGAGAGCTCTCTCTCACAGTCAGGAAGTTCTTCCTCATGTTCAGGTGGAATCTCCTTTCTTGTAGTTTGAAGCCATTGTTCCAGTGTGTCCTAGTCTCCAGGGCACCAGAAAACAAACCTGATCCCTCCTCCCTATGACATCCCCTCATATATTTATACATGGCCCTCATAATGTCTCCTCTCAGCCTTCTCTGAGCGCAGTGGGTTAAACCCCAGTGCTGGCAGGACTGAAGACCAACAGGTTGCAGGTTCGAATCCAGGGAGAACATGGATGAGCTCCCTCTGTCAGCTCCAGCTTCCCATGCAGGAACATGAGAGAAGCCTCCCACAAGGATGGTAAAACATCAAAACATCCGGGCATCCCCTGGGCAACGTCCTTGCAGACGGCCAATTCTCTCACACCAGAAGCGACTTGCAGTTTCCGACACGACAAAAAAAAGCCTTCTCTTCTGAAGGGTAAACATTCCCAGCTTTTTTAGCCGCTCCTCACAGGGCTTGTTCTCCAGATCCTTTGAGTTGCCCTCCTCTGGACACATTCCAGCTTAGAATCAACATCTCCCTTCCACTGCAGCGTGCAGAAATGGACACAGTGTGATTTCAGATGTGGTCTGACCAAGACGGAATAGAGGAGGAGAGTGAGTTTCCTTGATCTAGGCACTAGGCTCCTACTGATGCAGGCCAAAATTCAATTGGCTTTTTTAGCTGCCACATCACATTGTTGGCTCATGTCTACCTTCCTGTCTACGAGGACTCCAAGATCTTTCTCACACATACTGCTATTGAGCCAGGCATCATCCCCCATACTGTATCTTTGCATTTTATTTTATCTGCCTAAGTGGATTATCTTGCATTTTTCCCTGTTGAACTTCACTGTGTTAGTTTTGGCCCATCTCTCTAA